AACATTTTGCCAATCAAATATTCTAAGTTAACAATGGGTGAAACAATAGGTGTATCATCTTACTAATAAGCAGTTTTGGATTGACGAACACCCCGATCAGAAGTAGTGATGGAATAGACGAGAAAGAAGAGAAGACAAAGATAAAAAGCCTTTGTTTTTTGGAAGCAAATGACCGTGGTGAGAACTGAGAAAGGAAGAACAAGGATGATATTTATATAGGCTTTCAAAGGTACTGAAAAACAGTGGACCGAAGGATCGAAAAATAGTCTGAGGGAAGGTTTCTAGCTCTTTTAGAGTGGCATTTCACTGATGGCTCGGACCCCTCGAAAGGGGGCCTTCACCCTCCACCTAAGCGCTCAAAGTCAAATAGTGGATCGAAGGATTTTAGCTCTTTTAGAGTGGTATCTTACTTATGGCTCGGGCCCCTTGCCTTCCCCCTCCAACAGAAAAGGCCCAAAGCCAATTCCAATGAACAGTAAACATCCCAAGGAATAATGAAACTTCATCTCAAGGAACAATGAACCTTCATCCAAAGGAATAGTGAAGCTTCATACTTTATAAGGTCTTTCTGTCCTTAGGACCGTTATAGTTACGGAGGGCTCAACCTAGTCAAGATGATACGGACCAACCCCTTCTTCTTGTGCCAAAAATCTTACCATTTTCGAAGGAACCGGAGTTACATCTCTTTTCTATTTCCATTCCAAAGTTTTTTAAGTGTTTCTACGCCCCTCGAGATCCCAAAACTATAATATAGGATAAGAGTTCTCCAAATATTCGATTCTTAGATCAATGTTCACTTTAATTTTTAATTTTTGAGTGTGGAATATGAATAGATACATGATTGCAACACCCATTTCCAACACTCCATACATGAAAATCCGATTGAATCTTTACCTAATTTCCAAAACCCATTAAATCATTGCATACATTTGTTTGAATACATATTAATATAATATAAGAAAAACTTCTATACATGACATTTGGAATAAGTTCTGTACCTGATTTAAAACAAGACATGTTGCTCGATTTTTGCTAAAAATTAACATAGAAATGAGATTCAAAAATGACTTCACTTCGACATATGGCACTAAGAAAGGATGCCTGGGGTGCAAAAATGACTTGACATAGAGATAGATAGTTCATGCCTCAATAGTACTCAAAATAAAGGTATATGATCTACTGAGACTTTTGCTTCTGTTCAAATATATAATGACGGAAGGTAACTTTAGTTGGTTAATCCGATCAATTCATAGATGGTCGACAAGTATGGGTCTTAATTTCGTATGTATTTTACTAGTGGATTTAAAAAACCTCGTGAATTGACTTGGGTTACAAGTGTGGTTCTAGCTGTATTGACCGCATCCTTTGGTGTAACTAGTGTATGGTAACAGGTGTACCGGAAGCTATTCCAGTAATAGTGTCGCCTTTGGTAGAGTTATTATGCGGAAGTGGCTATTCCAGTAATAGTGTCGCCTTTAGTAGAGTTACTATGCGGAAGTGCTAGTGTGGGACAATCTAGCTTGACTCGTTTTTATGGCATCGTTACGTTTTAGATTGCCCACCGATCCTAGAGGTTAGAAGTGTCATGGGTTTCAATGGTGTCAGCACGTTGTTTTGTAAATGGGTTTTGAAAAGTACTCGATATGTCATTTTAATTTTTAGTTTTTAATAATTAATTTTAATTATGGGAAGAAAGGTAAAGAAAGTAGAGCAATCTCATTGAAAAAAATTATATATTTTCCGCTCAATGCATTACGCAATTGAGCGGCATATACATAATTCAAAATTTTTCAATCTTCAAAGCATAACCGCATTGGCTTCTAGAACTCACACAGCCAGAAACACCGAGATCACAGCCATAACAGCAGCAGCTCCGATGAAGCTACCGCGTGAGGCGCCGGATTCCTCGCTAGGTGCTGGAGCGGCCGCATCATCCTCACCGTCGGCGGACTTCGGTGGAGACCTTGCCGGCGAATCGGCAACAACCTTCGGTTTTTTGGCGGGAGGAGCCCTAGCCTTTGACGGAGTCTTAGCGGAAGGAGCCGGTGCCTTTTTAGGAGATCCGATGGGAGAAAACGACGACGGCGGTGGTGGTGTTGGAGAGGAGCGAGGTGGCTTGGCATCGATTCCAGGAACCTGAATCGGAGATGAGATTTGAAGAACACAGATATTGAACGGCTGTGCGACGACGGATTTCACCAATCTCGAATCGAACTGAGTTCCTCTCACGGCGGATCCGAACGCAATCTCGCCTTGGCTAATCTGCGTAACCTTGATAAAACCTTGCTGATTCCTGGCGGCGCCGCTTGCCTGAAACAGAGTGGTGAGAACGGTAGTATTATCGGTAGACAATTTAGCAAGCTTCTGAGCATCGTAGTAATCGAGAATAACATGAACGCTCAAGATCCTCCTCACGACGTCCAATGGCTTTCCAGATAGGCCAGAAACGGCGCTGTTGTCGAGGGCGAGGATGGTGATGGTTCTACGGCTGTTAATTTCACCGGCGAGATTTGTTTGTGTGAGTAAATCATTCAAATTATTGAAATCGGGGAACTGGCTTAGGAGATTAGTGATATTGAAAGCGGAGGCTGCAGAGAAGAGGAGGAAACTCAAAAGCAGGGCAGCGGAAATGGCTCTGGAATCCATTGTTATTCGGTAATTCTTGATTTTTTTTTTCTTTTTGGTATGATTTTTGTTTTCAATGGGAAACCGATGAGCTTGTTGATTTACGATTGAGATGGAAGGCGGCTTTTATAGCATGGATTGATTTAGTTTGTTTGGCTGGGAGGAAAATTCTCACTGGAATTTTCTTTTCCGGGAAAATCTTGAATTAGCATTAGAAATCCTTTAGAGTTCTTCGATTCTGAAAATTAATTACTAAATATAGTATAAATAGTTCTCTCTGTTACCCGTTTTACCCCGAACACCAAAATCTGATTTGAACTGAAAAAGGGCGGGAATGTTGTGCATTTACCATTTTACCCCGAACATGAAAATCCGATTCAAACTTATTATATATTTAGAATATATTATGTTTTTTCTAATATTTTTAGCTACGAATCTTATTGGATTTATTAATTTTGTGGTGTTTTTGTAGGGATAAGAAATGAAATCCGTAGTAGAAATCTTTCTTATCCTTGTTTCACCTCGTTCCCTGTGCTTATCTTCCCTCGTGAACATCTTTGAGTTGAAAGTAAATGTTAGATCAAAATGTAAACCTGTCAAATCAAGACGTGAACCTGGTTTATAATGACGGGAGAGCAAATTCTGACCGTCCCCAAATTTAATTAAATTAGATACAACTTTACGTCTTCCCGATAAAAACGCTAGCCCAGTGAATAAAAATTACACACTCTAAATATGGTTGTAAGGTATCTATCTATTCTTTAATTGAGACATTCCTTGATTTATAACATAAGTTAAGAAAATCACGCCTTAATTTTTACGAATCACAACCAATAATAACATAAAGCTAAAATTGTTCTAAATGATAAGAGATTCAACCGTTGAAATTGAACAAAACTAGAAAGAACAGTACGTAGATTGAGTTAGCCGGGCCCGATTTTAGGAATATCATGGTGTTCACTCAGATTGGTAAGATATTGATTGAATTCGTGAATATGATCCCGATGAGATTTTATGGCCATCTTTGCTATTCTTTGAACATCAATCTTCTCCCATTGCTGAAGATATCGCCTCTCCCCAGGTGTTAGCATATCGTTCATGTTCAGGTTCTCTTTAGAACAGTCAACCAATGAAGTAGCGTCCATTTCCTAACAATCTCCAAAAGAAAAAGATGTCGATAAGCTAAATGAAATTACTCGATCAAAGGAATTCCGTAAATTCACTCGAACCATGAAGATTTTGAAACATTTTTTATTTGCATGAAGTGTTTCAGAATTTACACGAGATGAATGAACAAGTAATTACAGAGACCAAAGTAGGATTAAATCTTGTTTTAACTCTAAAAGTCTAAGATTACTGTATCTGCATAATTGAAGCCCCGTGAATTCATGATCTAATCAGCTTGAAAAACCTAACTACTTGAACTCGTCTTCCAAAAGATCTGATAACAATTTCTTCAAACAAATTCAAGTTTCTAACCAACCACTCTGTTCCATATATATCAAATTCTTGACAATTTAGCATTAAAACAACGCTCAATCATCTCCAAACAAAATTCAACGAGAAATTCAGAACAAATCAACTAACCTGGTGAGAGATCGTCTTCTCTGACAGTTTGAGAAAAATTGTTAAACTGCTTCTTCGACTTCTTTTTCTTCCTGATTCCATCTCCTCTTACGCCCAAGGCCTTCCCCTTCAGCCTTAATTTCCCCACCACCACGTTCTCGTACTCCGACATCTTTTCCGATTACGATCGATCGGAACTTACGAAACAAAATACGAAATTCAAAGATAGTAAGAAGATGAACCGCAGAGGTTACAGCATTGGCGATCAATAAACAGAAAATTTTCACAGTCTTATGATATGCTAAAAAGAAAGAAACAGTAGGATCGTTATTTACCTTAAGAACTCGTTGGAGCGAAGGCTCTCGAAACTTGTCGAACTCTGCTCTCAGACGACAAATGATTCTTCTAGAAGCTCAACGAATACGCTAAATTTGAAAAGAAAAAAACCAAAAATTTATTAGACACCAAATTTGATAATTAATATATAATTTGTGAGATGAAAAATTTGGGATATTAACCTATTATTTATTTATTTGTCGAGTGAAAAATCTGCAAAACCACCAAAACGGCGTTCGTATGACTAATAAAACGGTCGTTTTGAAAATTACGCGCGTTTTATTAAGCGGGAAACTTAAGCTGGAGGCAGAATAGTTGCCACGTGGACCTAATCCAACCGTATCAAAGTATGTCCTTCTATAGGCTACTACAGAGCCACGTCGCAAGTCAAAGATATTGCCCACGTGTCAGCATCTCAGCTACTTAAAGCTTTTTTCCTACCACAAATTCCATTAGAAAAGAAAATAAAAAACGAAAAGGATCATGAACACTCTCCGGATCTCTTTCTCGTCGTTTCCGCTGTTGAAAACACTCCCCAATTCTTCCTCACTGAAACCGGCCCAAATCGCCGCAAATTCTGCTCACCGTCGAATCTTTGTCATGAATTCTAGCTCGAAGCTTGATTCTAGGTCGTCTTCGTCGTCGATATGTCAAGTTCCGGGGCTAGAATCGGAGGAGATGGACAGGATTGCGGAACAAATGTTCCGGCGGTATGAGTCTCCTTCTTCTTCGAGTGTTAAGAGAGGAAAAGGAGTGGCCATTGTATGGTTCAGAAATGACCTCCGTGTGCTGGACAATGAGGCCCTGTATAAGGCCTGGATTTCGTCAGAGGCTGTGTTGCCGGTGTATTGCGTTGATCCGAGACTTTTTGGTTCTACCTGCTACTTCGGATTTCCTAAAACTGGAGGTTTGTTTCTGAATTTTTTCCTTACTTTAGTGACCGATGATCATATGTTGATTGTCTTGTTGAGCTCTGAATTAATAGTTTATTGTTCTGTTTCTTGTTGTTGTTGATCACCAAACTGTTCTGTTCCGTTATTTTTTCGTGTAACACTTATTTCGACTAGTTAAGTGTAATGGTGGGAACTATTAGAGGTCTGTTCGTTGCCCGTCGAGTTAGGGCCATGTCTTCTCTTCTTGGACTTAACATTAGTGAGGCGACTTTGGAAGAAATTCATTGCAATGTCGTCATATGATCATGGATTATGCTGGATTTTTCAAAATGTTAAGCTATTAGTTGAATCGCTGATTGAGATTTCAGCATTTTGGAATTTGTGCTTGTATATGGGGCAGAGCAAGTCTTTCAACGATCCTATAATTCCTTCCTTCCTTCCTTCCCTTGCAGCATTGAGAGCTCAATTTATTGTTGAATGCTTGGCTGATTTGAAAAGGAATTTGATAAACCGAGGTCTTAACTTGCTTATTCAACATGGGAAGCCTGAAGAAATTCTCCCTTCTCTTGCTAAAGCTCTTGGTGCCCACACAGTTGAGTAACTTCAATAGCTTTCCTTGTTTGTTTGAAGGGCTGCTCCAATATGGCTATTGGTTAAATTATATCTATTCATTTGATCAGGTTTATGCTCAAATGGAAACTTGTAGTGAGGAACTATACGTTGAAAGAATGGTAAGCAAAGGACTCAAAACAGTGGTGCTATCACCAACCTCAGAGAAGTCTGCCAAGCCAAGCTCTGCTAGAAGCCCTACTTTGCTACTTGTTTGGGGCACCACGATGTACCACATAGATGACCTTCCATTTGATACCAACAGTTTGCCTGATGTCTACACTCAATTTCGTAAAGTAACGTATATTCTCTTTATAGTTTTAGGTTCGTTATCTTCTCTTGCATTGTTAAATGTGTTTCTCACAAGATGCTTTTTCTCTTGATGGGCCACCAAATTGCAGTCTGTTGAAGCTAAATGTGCTATCCGAGATTGCATTAGACTTCCAGCTCTTCTTGGACCTCCAGCAAGCATCGATAATTGGGGATGTGTTCCCTCGCTTGATAAGCTCGAGCTTCAACCTCCAAGTGTATGTTTATATTTTTGGAATAATCAAGTCTGCTATTTGTGAGTTGATGATTGATTCATTTTCTTCAGGTTGTTAAGGGCATGAGGTTTATTGGGGGTGAGAGCGCAGCTCTCTCCAGAATCTATGAGTACTTCTGGAAAAAGGTGAAAATTGTATTTTAAAAATATAAATATGAACAATTAGCTATTCAAATACAAACTCTTACTGATGAATTTAGCCATTTGAATCTCTTTTGATTCGGACTCTTAATTATGGGCTAAGCAATTTCACGTACATCGCCGATGTTTTGCTATTTAGGATTTACTACGGATCTACAAGGAAACAAGGAATGGGATGTTAGGACCTGACTACTCTACAAAATTCTCTCCATGGCTTGCTTCAGGAAGCATTTCACCACGTCTCATTCATGAAGAGGTTGGTTTTATTGCATTTCCTTCAATGTGAATGTGTTTTGCATATTTCAAGCCTTGGATTCTTCTCTTAGGTAAAGAGATATGAAAAGGAAAGGGAAGCAAATCAATCTACTTATTGGTATTCTCTCTTTTCTTTTCATAATACGGCATCGTTACTTATTACCCATTGATCATCTTAGTTACCTCATGGTAACAAGGAAATAGCATCTGGTTCAAATCTTCCATTCCCTACAAAACATCGATTGAAAGAAAATCTTGTATGCTTTGTTAATCTACATTTGCCATTTCAGGGTGTTGTTCGAATTGATATGGAGGGATTACTTTAGGTTTCTTTCAGTCAAATATGGCAATTCTCTTTTTCATATAGGTAAGGATTGTCAAAAAAATTTCAGATTTTGCTGTCTTTCCTGTATGGTACTACCTTATTTCCTGGTGCATATTCCCTCTTATGCCAGTTTCTTTTCACAGGTGGCCCAAGAAAAGTGGAGTCGAAATGGAGTCAAGACAAAAATTTGTTTGAATCATGGAGAGATGGCCGTACAGGGTATTTTTTCCCCCCTCTCTAGGATTGATTTTATGTTCCTTTGAAGTCCAAGAGTGTGTGTAGATATTGCTTTCACATTTCATCAGACGTTTGTTTCATATATGATGTACTATAATGTTCTGAGCCTCCAATGTTCTGAGCCTCCAGGTATCCTCTAATAGATGCAAATATGAAAGAATTGTCAACAACTGGGTTCATGTCGAATCGAGGACGGCAGGTATTTTGTTGTTCTACAGATGTCGTTCTACACAATGAGTATCAAAGCCTTGCAAACAAATTAAGCACCAAATTACACTTAAAAATGGATTGAGTAACAAATGTACCGATGATTTGTTCTTTCTACAGATAGTATGTTCCTTCCTTGTTCGAGATATGGGTATTGATTGGCGTATGGGAGCTGAATGGTTTGAGACATGCCTTCTGGATTATGACCCTTGCTCCAACTATGGAAATTGGACATATGGAGCTGGTAATTCAATTTCCTTCTCAAATATGGAAACTCTGTCCTTAAATTCCCATTTTTGTTTTCCCATTTTATATTTCATATGAAAATTTTAATCCATTCACTTATTACACATCATCTGAAACTCCAAGAATGAAGGTTACCCAGTTCATGAGTTGGATTGGGCCTAAGACACATTTTAGACTCAATTCTATTTTTTATCTGTTTAATCCAAACAATTTTTTATTTATTCAAATTTTCTTAAAAATTTAAAATATCTGTTTACGTCCTCTCTATTTTTAGGTGTTGGGAATGACCCTAGAGAAGATCGTTACTTCAGTATCCCCAAGCAAGTAAGTACAGATTTTACCCTAAATAAATTGTTGACATTGTGAACAAACACAAGCACTTTAAGATGCTGGACGATGCAAATCTATTAACTTCTTCTACGAACGAACATTCATATTCACTTGATTGTATGCCATTATCAGTTAGCAATTATGGCGATAGTCGAAAATCATAGCATGAGTCCATGAGTTCTGCATATGTAGTCTCCCTGAAAAGTGATGCAATCAAGTATTATAATATCTAACTCTTATTTTTTAGCTTAATTTCAAGAGGTGTTGGAGTAAACCGTATTAGAGAATCTGATCCATGCAACAGCCTAAGCTCAGTGCTAGTAGATTGTGTCCTCTTTGGATTTTTTTCTTTCGAGCATCTCCTCAAGGTTTTTAAATCACGTCAGAGAGGTTCCCACACCCTTATAAACATTGTTTCATTCTCCTCCCCAATCGATGTGGGATCTCACGTTACAGATCATTGTTTTTCAAATTTAGGCTAGAAAAATTGCCTTGATCAGCCAACAAGTTTAAATGAGTTCCCAATGTTTTTCTATTTCTGGGAAATTTTGACAATAATATCATATACAGGCACAGACGTACGATCCCGAGGGCGAATACGTAGCGTATTGGTTGCCGCAGCTACGAATGTTACCCAAAGATAAGAGGCATTTCCCAGGAAAAATGTTGTACATGGAACAAGTAGTACCTCTGAAGTTTGGGAATGCTGCAAGGCCCCAAAGCCAAGATTATGCAAGAAGAAAAAACTTTGGGGGGAGACAAGCAAAGGACTTCAAAAGATAACAGTGTTCAAGGAAAGTAGGTACAATTCATAAATCTCAACACCTTATCTCCATTCAACAAACACCATTGGTTCTTTTCTTGACCAAAAGTTATAAAGTAATCCTGAGGAAGCTTGTGCTTTTACCTTCTCATAAGTCTCTCTACTAACCTTACGGTACATCGATTCGTTGATCCTTCGGAAACTTTTTTCGGGGCAAGGTTTAGTTTCGGGTATTTTGCTTACTCCTTGAGAGTGCAATACCGTGAGCACTAACCATTCACGTGCAAAGAATCTCTTAGAATAAAATTTGGTTAGAGGATCTCTCTATAGGTTTGAGTTTGGTGATATTTTGGTTCATAAGTTTGTAAACTCATATTTTAGCTCGGTTTAAGAGTAACTAAAATATTATTGTTGTTGTTATCGTCTATTTTCTCTCTTTTACTTCCTCGTCTTTTCTCTTTCCTCCATCAACGTCTGTTGTCGATGTCCTCTTCTTTTTGTCATCCATTTGCTTGTTTGTTCGCTTTTTTGTTCCTTTCTTCCATCGTTTATGGTTAGGTTGAAAAAAATCTTCATCTTAATTTTTTTTTAAGAAATAATTAGGAGACCAATTCTTTTATTAAAAAAAATAATGAAAAAAAGAAAAGACGTTGTCTAGCCATTATATTTTTGTCTATTAATCTAAGAAGAAAAATCATTTTTTTAAACAAGCTTCATTTGAATATTATTTTAATAATTCGACCTTTTTTTGGGTCACACGAACTCGTATTTTATTAAACAAATAACATGATTTGAGATCGTTAGAAAATTATTCTCTAATTTGTTTTTATATTTTAATATTGTCATCAAGAATGTCAACTAAAGCTCATCCAATTAATGGTGGGAAAATTCATTAACTTATTATTATCAGCTCAATGAATGGTTTATTTTGTTCAATAAATAAGAGTATGAAGGTTAGATAGGTCTATCGAGGACGGAGAAGATCACTAGAAAATCTTCCTTGTCTCCATTCCCGCCACTTATTTCATTCTCTATCTCAACATAAATTTTGGATTCGAGGGTTCCCCCACAAGAAATTGATGGAAATCGAGTTTCGGTAAATTTTATATGTTCGTTATTTTTTAAGAAAATAGTCATTTTAAAATAGATTTTTAATCTACTAATAGTAATAAATTAATAGTTAAATGAATGTGACAAAAATAATAATTAAATTGACCAATAATTAATTTACTTAGGCGGTAAAGTTGGACTCAATGCTGGTTAAACTTTATTTACTGATCTCTAAATTGTTGATTTAAAATTGGTTAAATAAAAAAATCCTTTTTGGCGGTAGGACCAGCCCCTAATCCTCCCAACTGCACGTAGACAAATTAAAATAAATAACAATAATAATAATAATAATAAAGGGAAATTAAAAAGAGAGAGAAAATATGAAACTTAGGGATAGAAACAAATGGTGGTGAAGATGAAAAAGGAGGAGCTCTCAATTTTGAAGCCCTTTTGAAAAATTTTCCTTTCCCCTCGGCAAGCTCACTACGCGAAGAATTCAGTTCCTTTCTCTCTCTCTCTCTCTCTCTCTCCATCTTTCTGGTTGATTTTCTCGCAGCTTTACGTCTCCAGCACGGTCTCTGTTTTCCATTTCGTATTTATTCTCTCTCTGTTATCCGGAGAGGAGAAAGGTTGGTGGAGTAATTCATTGAATCTATCTAATCCGGATCGACGAGTTTCAGGTATGTTCTAGATCTGTTGCTTTCTCCTTTTTTTTTTTTTTTTTCTTTTCTTTTTTGTTGCGTTTTCCGACTGTTCGCCGGATGTTTCGCATCTGGTATTTACTTTGTTTGAGGAAGTGATGCTCGTTGATCAATCGGTGTGTTTGTTTTTTTTATCATTTGATTACTTGAATCACTGGAGAATTGGTTCTTGTGTGTATTTAATTGTTTACGGATTTAGATTCTCGTGTGATTGTGGTTGTGTTTATGAAAAGTGAATTTTTCAGGTATATTTGGGATATGGCTGAGGATAAAGCCGCTGGAGAAGGTGAAAAGAAGGATACTGTTGCGGATGCTGCCGAGAAGAAGAAATCCCCGGGGATTTTCTCGCGGCTTTGGAGTGGTATCTTCCGTGTACGCGGCGATGATTTTGAGAAGAGGCTTCAACACATTTCTAAGGAAGAAGCCGCTGTGCTTGCTAGGTTGAAGCGTAGAGCCCTAACCTGGCGGCGAATGGCCAGAAATCTTATTGTATCTTCTGTCATTTTTGAGGTGATTGTCTATTTTCATGGAGCATGGTTACTGTTCAGATTGACTACGTTAGGTTGCTTTTACTTTTCCACTTGCAGTAGTTTATGTCAATGTGATTGAATTGCATACTTCTGAATGAATTGATTTGTCACCCTTGAGGATTTTTTTCAATGATTATTATTGTTTTTTCCTTTCAGATTATTGCAGTTTGTTATGCTATCATAACTACAAGAACTGTAGATATGAACTGGAAGATGAGAGCATTTAGAGTTTTACCCGTGTTCCTTTTGCCTGCATTATCAACCCTGGCTTATACCACATTTCTTAGCTTCACAAGAATGTGTAAGTATATCCACTTGATTATCTGTGATTTTCTTTTATTCACATTATATCTACGCCATGTACTTTGTTCTGTTTGTTTATTGCTGCCTTCGTTGATTTTTTTTCTTGTTCATTATCGATGGTACCAACGATTAACCATACATGTAAACTGATTTACTTGCTGTTGGCACATGATGCCTGGACATGAAGATGAAGCTCAAAGGCCAATGCTGGAATAAGAGTAATTCTTCATCGAAGAGAATGATAGTTTAGATAATTTGCTTTCTTCTTAAGCATCTTGTTGCCAAGAATTAAACGGCATCCTACTGATGACCGCAGTACTACTTAGCGTTTATAGGTTTTCTGTTACCTTGTACGGGATCCATGATTCTTGTACCTGTCATCTGCTTCTAACAATGAACATTGTTTGCTGCATATGTAGAGTTATAATACGAATTTGGTACTTCGGCAAACATGGATGCTTGGAATTCTGAACTAGCATCCTTGTGATTTTGAAGTGGCTTGTATCTTTTGACTGAAACCCATTTTGAGATTTTTGAATTCTTGTTTGTCCTGGATTTTTAATCTAGCTAAGTGATCTTAGACAATAATTCGTTGAAGTCACGATGTTAACTTGCTATTGGCATATCGGAATATGTTGTCACAATAACGAGTCTCTGGCAACTTTATAGGCGATCGGAAGGACCAAAAAACCCTTGAAAGGTTGAGAGCTGAGAGGCAAGCTAAAATTGATGAACTTAAGGAGAAAACTAATTATTACACTACTCAGCAGCTCATCCAGGTAATGCTGTTTTTCCAATATTTTTTCCCCTCGTTTATTTCTCGAGTTTAGCATGGCATTTCTCTAATCTATGTTTCGCCTTGCTTCCTATTGTTGCCCTTCTGTCTGTCTGACCCATATCAGTTTTAACCTTCTCGGTGCGTTCATTGCAGTCTAAGCTCAATTTGCCATCTTTATATAACCAAGTATTTTGACGTAAAATGGCTGATATTCGCTAATATTGGCGTAAAATGACTGATATTCGCTATAAAATTTGTAACCTTTTCGTTTTAATTTGGGATGGTAAATGCAATGTTCTTATGAAGTTTGCTTATGCTCCGGAAACTTTCTCCCTTCATTTCGATGACAAAATAACACCACAGTCTTATACAAGATTATCTCATTGGATTTGAAGTACAATTCTGATGAATTATGCTGATGATTGACCTGTCGTTTCTTTAGAGCTTTTCTGCTGGATTGAACAATATAGCCAAATTTGTGCAGCCTTTTTTTCTTCAAAACCCCACGATGTCCTTATTTCTGTACCCCTTTTTCTTTCACAGAGGTATGACTCTGACCCTGCTGCAAAGGCGGCAGCTGCAACTGTATTGGCTTCTAAGTTGGGAGCAGAGTCGGGCTTGAAGGTTCATTTGGGCGACGAATCCAACCTTAATGTTCCATTAGGGAAAAGCAATGATGTTGAACTCGTGCCTGCTGGTGGTGGGCTTCGGAACAGAAAACAAGGTCACTCCCGTTCCAGTAGCGTAGGCAGTGCTTCATTGCATCATTTTGATGAAGATGTACGTCGTCCTGCTGTATCAGATGGTCCTCATGCGTCTGAGCATAATCAGTTGGTCGTCGATCATTACAATCCTGAAGGACTAGCTGCAAATAACGGAGGATGGTTAGCTCGAATCGCTGCATTGCTCGTTGGAGAGGATCCAACACAGTCCTATGCACTCATCTGTGGAAACTGCCATATGCACAATGGTGAGCGTTCCTATTCAACCCTATACAATAATACTCTCTTCTCACAATCTGAAAATTCATGCACTTCTTCCCCTTCATATCAATCTGAATCAACCCTTTTCTTTTAAATCCTCTGTAGGGCTTGTCAAGAAAGAAGATTTCGCATTCATTACGTACTACTGCCCACATTGTCGTGCCTTGAATCGATCGAATCAATCAGAGGAACAAGTTTCTGGGCAGGGTAGTCCAAGTGATGGTGATTCTATAGGAGCACCAAGAAGCGCTAGTGACCCATTAGTACTCACCAGCAATGTGAATGCAGAAACAATTTCTGAGATTCAGGACACCATAAAAGAAACGAAATCTGGAAACGAAGTTAACGACGGAGTAAAGGTACGCACAGCTGAAACGACGTAATTATAATCATACACCATGAAACTAGAGTTGTTTGATCATTGCATTGCATTGCTTGGGGTTGTTATCCCTTGTTCATATTGTGGGCGTTATTGAGAGAAACACATTATCTTCATAGTTTGCTTCCTGCCTGATTGATATCTTGTAAACTGGCACTGTTGAGGTGAGTTAACTTTGTTCTTCTTTTCTTCATTTTATTGCCTTAGAGTTGATGGTGTACACATAATAGATTACATGGATTTTCTTGTAAACATGTAAAACTGTTGAGTTTTGACTTTTAATGGAAGTGTCCAAAAGATCATCATACTTCTTTTTCTAGTTTTTATTTTGAATTGTATGGTACGAGAATGTATAAGCTAAGTTCGGTACACCAAGCCGTTACACAAATCTCTTTCTTTCAAATAGGTTATTCCTTGTCAGTCGGCCAAACAACAAAGACATTAAGAATGACTGACCCGTTTTTGAGCCTATGAAAGGAAATTCCATTAGAACATAAAACACAGACGTGAATGGGAGAATGAATACGGTACCATAAGGATGTCGAAAGAGGAGGTATATGGTAATACCAAGTTTACGATAAAAGAATAGGACAAAGGTCTATATTAAAGTCTGAAATTAAGGTATTTAAAGAGAGTTGTTACACGAGTAAGCTAAGTTTAGTTTATTAGAGTGAATTTCTTTGGGTGTCATATTCAAGTAATATCATGAACGTACGAATAGATGAATATGGTAGAAATTTTTCGATCCCTTACGATAGCAAGGGTCATTGCAGTAATGAGTTACTTTTTTCTCTATTTATATTTTATAGATATTTTTATAAAAACAAAATAAATAATATAAGATATTTTTATAAAAACAAAATAAATAATATAAGATATTTTTATAAAAACAAAATAAATAATATAAGATGTTATCTTCACATCTGTTTACTTGTCTACCCACTTTAGTGGAAGTTTGGAACAATCAAAAGACATTGAGCTGTCTTATCTTACCATTGGTTTCCCACTAAAAAAAATTAAATTTAATTTAAATTTTGTCTCCACCTTTCATAATTATAATCCTTGAAATTTAAAATTTTAATTTTATGTTTAATAAGTTATTAATATATTTAACGTTAAATTATTAATAATACAAATACCATTTTAAAATTTTAAAATTTATAACATTTTAACATAACATTTGTTTAATAATATTGCCAACACATAGAGACAAAAAAAAAAAAAAAAAAAAAAAAA